ATAAATCGGTTCCGATTCGGGGATCCAAAGGGGGTCGGTAAAGGGAGCAGGGCCTGGCAGAGTGGTAGCTGTTTTTCGTGAACCTCTGACTGTCTGTGGCGGAGGTTGTCCCGCAACAGATGCACAACGCACCACTGACACGCAAGTTTTCCCTATTTCCTACTATGGCACTTGTCAGCAGAAGTGAGGAATGTATTTTTAAACCAGTTTCTGAAAGTTCTTATGGGAAAAAATTACATTTTAGAGAATATTTAATCAAGCTAGGAAAAGCTAAAGCTCATGATGATATATATATCTTTTTTCCACAACAATGAATTTAATGAAATTATTCAGTCAATGAGTGTCAAAGTTCCTAAGTTGATCTATAAGTAGAAACTCAAATACGTTATCATAATCTACCAAGGACAAGCAATAACAAACTTACTTTCTTTCGACACAAGCAAATGTCTTGGCAACGTGAAAAGGAAATATTTTCCAACTTGGGTAGATTTTCCAAAGCATTTTTAATACCAACCTTATAAAAAAGACATGAATTCAATCTTTTCTTTTTAAAATACAATATCTTGTTAAGTAGTGTAATAAGCAGTGTATAACAGCAGCTGGCTTGGTGGAATATAGGAAATCTAAAATGCATGCAAATGCTTTGCCACTGCTAATAATGGGCATTATCATGATGTTGATGCTGCTCAACCGCCTGCCCTCCAACCTTTACCCCTAAAAACCCCTTGGCTTTAGCCCCATCCACGAGCCCTCCACGCTCCGTTTGATGATGATGAAGCGAGCTCCGGCTGGGTAACTCGATAACGATTCCAGCCAGGCAACCACTCCATTGGCGGTTTCGGGGTGGAGTGGGAAGTGGGGCCTGGTGGCAACTATAAAGTATGCAGCCTGGGTGGAAAATGGGTAAAAGCAGACTGTCGCTTAGTTTGGCTTACAACCCACTACCACGCCCACTCATCCCGCTCGCGCTCCATGGAGACTTTGTGTGACTCTGACATGCATTTCTCATGATGCGAAAATTTTGTTTCACTTGACATTTTGACATTTGACAGCTGGCGCAAAATTAACGCAACTCGCGGGAGAAGGGGCGTGGTACTAAAAATGCAATAACATTCTAAGCGGGCGGGCTGCAAAATGTTCATCCTTTTTTTTTTTTGTATGGAACCAACTGGCATTTTCCCACAAATTTATCATGTTCGACAAGTGGCTGTGGGGTTAAGTGGGTGGTTTTCTGGGTGGCAGGGAGTAAGTTGCGTGTTAAATGCTACGAAGATGCATGGCGATGATGACTTAATTGAATGGCAGCCCGCAAGCGAAGTAATCCCCCATGGAGAGGGCCAAAAGGAAAAGGAAGTGGAAAGCAGATAAGGAGAGAGATTTCGCTGATGAGTTGGCAAATTTGAAAGTGCCAGGAATTAGATGTTGAAGGATGTATGTGGGTGAAAAGCACATACACTTTTACTGTTTGTGTAAGGGAAAATCCCCCAAAGCTAATAAACTAAAGATAAAGATTATTAAACATAAACTTTAAGCAATGTAATCTAAGAACGGGTATCAAAAAGAGGTTTAAAATGTTTTTAATAGAGTAGTTACATTTTTTATAAGTTTAAAAGCTCATTGGTGTTCTTGTATGGCTTTATAGCATTTTATAAATTCTAACACAAATTCCCCAAATTCCAAATTTACATTTCAAAATCTTCCAACGACGCCGAAATGTAGGCAACATTTTTTGCTGTTCTTCTTGCCTACGGGGTCTCCAATTTGATTTAATCTTTTGATAGCCAAGACTTCTGACATCGAACGCCCCCTGAAGGCCGAAGGCTTAACCCCTCACTCCCTTCTTCTCGTACATGTGCATTACGATGCCTTCGGTCCACCGACAATAAATCCTTCTTCATCTCCATCTTCAACGGGTTATTGTTGATGCTTTTGTTGTTTCTGCAGGGCCTGCTGTTGTTGTTTTTGTTTTGGCTTTTGTTGTGCGGTTGATGGAACACGTTGTCAGACTGTCTATCTCTGTCGCTCTCTCTCTCTGTCCCTCACGATGTCTTCCCTCTCATTCTGTTATACACATGTCAGCTTCAGATATGTCCCATTCATTGTTGTCGGCGCCTTTCGCATGTTTTGGGACAGAGGAAAAGAGACAGAGAATTGGTAGGACGAAGGGATCCAATTCGGCCTGATTTTGACACCCGGCCACTGGGAATTTTTGTACGGAATTAGAAGTCGGGAAAATGAGTTTTGTTCTTCTTCCAATCAGCTTTTTATTCCATGGAGGAAGCCTGACGACAAACAGTTGAGATATGTTCAAAACAGAAAGATGTCCTTTAGCTAGAGTGTTCTTTTCACTTCTTATTTTATGGTTATTTTCTTTTCTTCTACAAAATGGTAAGGGATAATTGGTATTTATGTAAGAAAAATGTATTTACTTTAGAAAAATGTTTACTTTATAAGTCTAAAGCCTATTTCATGCCTTTAAACAACTATCCATTGAAAGCTTTCCCTTATCCCATCTCAAATCTATTTCCCATTGCTTTCAAAACTGAAAAATTAATTTGCCTATAAAAATTGATAATTTATTTAAAGCAAATTTGCACTTTGTCATTTATCCCCTCTGCCTAGATTTATGCTTACCAGCTGTCACAAGTAAGGTCTTTAAGGAAAAATAGAGAGAAAGCTGAATGGCAAATGCAAAACTTATCCCATTTCATAGTTGCTTTGCCTGTCACATAAAATACCATAGAAATGTGCATAAATATATCGAAAAATGCAGGACGAGCAGTAGATAAAGGCAATGTGAAATACGAACAACAACAACAATGACAATTGACCCACAATTTTAAGGCCAAAACAATTCTCGATTTTGGCCCTGCTTGGCTCAGACTTCTTTATGAGAGGTTGGGCCAACAAGTGGACTGGGTTGACTTTAGTTAAGTTTTTATCTTGAAGAGCATCACTATGAGGGAGGAGAAGGTGGCAGGAGAGAGGGTTAAGAGAAAGGTTAACAAGATGGACAAACAGAAGGATGGACAGGACAAGAAAATGCTGGGGGAGGAGTCTTCCATTCAATGCCAAAGGAACATCCTTTTGGTCTGTATTTTCTTGTCTAGCTATAAACCTTTTTCCTTGGTATTTTTCCATTTTCTTCTTCTTTTTGACAAACACTACTTTTTTCATTGTTGGTTTGAGCAAATATTTATGGAAACATGCTAAATCCGAATTATGGCTTTCACTAACCAAAGCAAGACTCTATTGGGAGATTGTCAAAGTTTGATTATAGCACACATTTTAAGCTTTTTGATATGTTAAGAAACCTTTAAATGGAACTAAGTTTTCCCTAAGACAAAGCCTTAATTGAATTAAGCAATAAAGCAGCTCTTTGTGATCTAGTCGGTGCAATCTCTTCTATAACTACACAGTATTTATATTTATATTTGCATAAATGAAGCTTTAACAAGCGATCCAAGCAGGGCCAAACAAATTGCTAAAAGTTCCACCATACCGACGGAAAGGATGGAAGATAAAAAAAATAAAAGAAAAGAAAAGCTGGAGCAACAGTAGGAAAAGGAGCCTCCGGTCTGTAGAAAAGCATTCCAATTGAAAGTCAAAACAAACGAGCTGCTCTTGTTGCCACGCCCCCTCACTAGCTGGCTCCTGCCAGACGCCCTCCGTACCCGAAATTGTCTTTTCTGCTCATAAACTTTTTGGCTTTCGGCACGTTTTGCCATTATCCATATGCTGCCAGAAAACCAGACTACTCCTGCTTCACTCGTGCCCCGTTCATGCTTTGCATATGTGCAGTCGCAACCGGAAACGGAAATGAAGCACAAAAGTTCAGTTCTGCTCAGCATACGCTCCGACTCCTGGCAGCCATAATAGTTAACTACACATTTGTTGGCCCTTGCAAACGCCCGCCCACTCACCCAGCTATTGTTTAAAGTGATTTTATGAGCCCCGACTCCTGACCATGATTTACTTAACCCGAAGAGGGGAAAGAAGAGGAATAAAAAATAAAATAAAAGCCGAGAGCTCATAATTCATGGCCAGCACTAATTGTCCATCTGTCTGGCTGCCTGTGTAAAGCCATAATTAAATGCAGACAGGAAAAGGAGGAAGATGAAGCGTGGGATGTAGATTTGGTGTTTTATTTTGTTTACTGCTGCTAGCCAGAAATTGAGTTCAGGACCTGTGAGAACTGTTGATGAAAGCGGCTTTAAATTAAGTCCTCTGTCTAGCTGATGGCATATTGCGCATACGTCATGTGGCCTACAGACGAGCAAAACAGCTCGAGGCCCTCGCTTGTGCTTAGTCGCCTTCCTCTTGACCAAACCAAAGTTTGTCACTGCTGTAGTTGAAGGGATTGCCCAGAGATTTATGCTCTAAACGGGTCGAAAGCACTCGAGGTTGGGTCATCAAAATATGACATGGCCAGTGGACCATCTATCGAGGATAATAATTAAGCGGCTTGACAAGTGCCTGCCGAAAGTCGGCTCTTTACATTTTCAGAGGAGAATTTGCATTTGGAAATTGAAAAATGCTCCTAACTAAGAGTCAACAATAAAGAAAGGTTTTTCTTTTAGGTCTTTTCTAAGTTCCTTTCCTTCCTTTTTTAAATCAAAGCAAAAAAGTAATTGATTTTTCATTGCATTTCTAGGCATTTATGGGTCTTAGCACTGCTACAAAATATTAAAATAATCACTTTAATTAAAATTGAATATAAAGTATTTGACGTTCATGTATTTTTGATACCTATTGGATTTTGTACACATTTTTTCGATGTTTATTATCATTGTCTTTGTTGTCCTAGATTTAATCAGTAAATTTGTTAAACATTCTGAATGCGACTTTAATCATTTCCATAAATTTAATAGTAAATTAGCCAAGAGAATTTAATTACGGAGTACTCAACAATTAGTATAAATACTTTTAAAATAATTTCCCCCAACTATCCAACTGGCCATAATCCGCTAATAAGTTTTTCTCTATTATTTCCATTGCAGAACTTTGGCGCCTAAGTGAATTGCAAACAAATCAGTGCAGCCAGCAAATAAATAAATCATTTGAGGTAAGTTTGGAATGCAGAACGTCGAAATTAAAAAACAAGTTAAAAACTGAGGGCGAAACAAAGACCGAAAACTGCGAACTGAAAGTCATTTGCAGTGCTTACCCTTGCCGCATCCGCAATTTCAATTACACAACTTTTCGTAGAGCGTGGAGCATTTGCTCATTAAACCAAAGGGAATCTCCGACTACTGCCTCTTTATCCTTGGCGAGGGAAGCAAAAACACAAATGTGGAGAACTCCTAGTAGAGGCCATGTCAGACTTAATGGTTTAATTAAATGGGATTTTAACTAAAAGGGCAAATAGGGTTGGGCTTAAGAAAATAGACGAAGTGGCGAGGGTTAAATCCGAGGGGCTTTCATAACAAACATGGCACTCCAACTTTTTGTCAGCCTGCAAGCTGTGTGAAACTCAAGAGATCTCGAAGTTGCTCATACGCCGCGTTGCCCTCGGCACTAGCAGAAAAAGATGGAGCAGCGCAACGAGCTGCAGCAGATGTTTGCCTAACCATCCTCATAGCTGAACAGGGTGGGCAATTCACCTACAAATTTTCCCCATTCCTACTAAGCCCGAGAAGATTCTCATCAAAACGAGAGCGAAATGCAATTCAAGCAATTTTCAATTTTCATTTTTAGAGCCAGAGACGGATAAACCGCTCAACAAGCAGCTATTCATATATATGTATTTACACCGAGAAAAAAAACTAAGCTATCTTAAAATCTTAAGTTTAATTTACTTTCCATCCATGTTATAAGATAATTTAATGTAGAAACTGAATACAGAGAATCTCGAAGCATATCATTGGGAATGATAGATAATTGGTAGATGGGTTTTGCGCATTTATGGCTTTAATTTTATACCTACCTATTCGTTTTTCCTGTGTACATATATATATATGCATATAGCCCTCCTTTTTAACCCCCCTGCAAACTTGTCGCGCTCGAAAATTCCCATCATTCCTGCTGGTCTAAGGCCAATTTTTCGATTCGCTATCCTTGCGCGTTTGGCGAATTGCAGTCGGGCGTTAGGCCATGACACGCCCCGTGCCCCTTGTTTCCCTAACCCCTGTTACCGCCTCCTTTGCTGCAGCGATCCCCTCGAGGCTTAAGCAATGCGTTAAAATCGAGAGGAAGGAAAAGCAAAAAACTTTGGCTAAAGATTCTTTTTGCCTCTTGCCATTTTCAAGTTTTCCTTTTTGGCCTTCCACCTCGTTTTCTTTCTCGTTTTCAACCTTTTCCTTTTGGCCTTGTCTGCTTTGCTAACTTTCGCTGTTGTTGAGCACAAAATGAAGGCATTAATGTTAGATTTTATGGATTCTTTCCGCTTCTCCTCGCTTTTTTCTTCGAGATAGAATCAAGTTTCCCTTTCTGTTTGTGTTTCAGTGTCTTGTTTTCTTTTTTTATCACTCATTGCTTTTTGGAGGAAAGTGAATCGCGAAAAGTATTTAAAGCTGCGGCAAATGAAGCCGAGTTAACAACTGGCAATGAGCTTTCGGGCTCCCGTTAAGTGCATTCGAATAACCGTAATCTACTCCGGTTAATCTTCACTTGCTATTTCATTCCCTACTTCTCTTTGGACTTGATCCCTTTGATGTAGCTTAAGCTCCTGGTCAGATGGAGAGTGGAAAATTAGTGCCATGGAGAGTGGAAATGGCGGAGTAGAAGTTTTGGTTACTTTACTAAACTTAAATTTATAACATTTAAATTATTTAATTTCTATAATTACACAGTTACTTCCGGTTACTTCACAGTTAACGCGTTTAAAACTTTTCTTCTAAACCCACAAATAGTTTATGAATAATTTTCATTTTTTTTATTGTACAATAAAACACCAATATATCACTTATGGTATCAAAATACAATTTGTTTAAATGCCTTAATTTAATTTGCATTTTCCACACATAGTTTTTCCACTATACTCCCTCATTCCCACAGCTCTATTTCAACCCACAAATAAGAATTCCCGGGTTAAACGTATAGTTCGGTTGGCAAACGATTAATATCTGACCCTGGCATCAAAACTGACAAATTCTCACAATTAGGATAGCCAGACAAGGCTTCTTTCCCTTTTCACCATGCTGTGCAAGCTTTGCAAATATTTGCGCGCAATTTTTCATATTAAACGACAGGCGCAGTGGGCGGGGCTGTGGCAGTGGCGGAAATAAAAATTGCAGGCGGGGCTACAAAAACTTTTCGCCAACTGTGATCAATCTTCGTGGCAGGAAGAGCAAATAGGGTCCAAAAATGGGAAAGAGTCCGAAGGAAAAGGCAGTTGCAACACATTTCGGAGGTCCCTGAGGCGCTACTCAGCCTGCCATGTCCTGTCGGGAATGAGGAGAAGGAGAAAAGGGAAATGGAAAACAGGAAGATGGAGGATGGAAGATGAAAGAGAGAAGCAAACGAGCAACAGGAAAAGCAACCTTCGACCATTGGCCCCAAACCGGGAAATTGCAACATATTTGCAATTGTCGTTAGGACACCGAAAAAGGACCAAGGAGGAAAAGTACTCGTAGTTTGAAGGAGAAAAACAGGACAAAAAGAGCGGAGGATGCTGTGAAGGCGACAGTCGGGCAATTGCCCAAATGAATGAAGATGAAGTGAACGGGGTTTGGCCGCCACTTGAACTGCCTGCCAGCACTCCGTGCCCAAGATTGATTGGCCCCGAGTTGAAGTCGACTAGGAGAAGGGGTGAAAAAGTGTCACTTCGCGCTTGCCTTTCACTGTCCTCCGGCCACTTTTGCTCCTCGTCCTGCCCTAAAATTAGTTGGCCTGTCAAAAACTTAACGAGGCCAACGGGTGACCAACGATGAAGACGATGATGGCGCCGGCCAAGTCTCTTAAGGGGGCAGTGCAATCAAAGTGCAACAATAGAGGAAAGGCCAAAGAAGGGAAGAGAGAGTTTCAAGTCCGGAAAAACTCATCATGGTACTTCCCGTCTCGTTGTTTGTCGACCTCTCTTTAAAGACTTAGATTTAACTACATCTCATTCTTAGTTCTGATAATAATAATAATGGTTTTGAGGAAAGACGGAAGGCAGATAGAGAGAGACATTTGATATTAAAACATAATTTTAATATTATTATTCCAGAACTGTAAATATTGACCACTTTTAACCACATTATTTAAATAACGTTCATTTTATACCATTTTTTTAACCCTTTTTACGGAACTGACCCGAAATCGATTTATTTCAATTTCCATTCCATTTATGTTAGCACCTTTTCTTTTGCCCATCGTGTTGGGCAAATATTTTACTTTTGTTTTCGCCGACTCTTATTGTTGTTCTGTGGAACTATAGCTGCTTTGTTTTGCAATAAACACTTCTTACTCCTTTCATCTGAAAAATTGCCCTGCCCATTGACATTACCATTACCGTTGCCCTGCCTTTTGCCGACCTACCGACCTACCGACCTCCTCGCCACTGCCCTTCAACGCTTGCCAAATGACTTTGGAAATAGTTTTTCTCATTTCTTTATGGTCTCAACCATTCCCTCTGTTGCGGTTGTATACGTAGTTGCCAACCTTTGGCCTTTGAAGTCATTTGTATTACTCTGGGTTATTGCGATTGTACTGTGCTTTGTCGCTTATTTGCTTTTCAGGTCCTTTGCTGCGTTTTTTTTGCTACCTTGTCATTTCACAGCCTCGACTTTCCCGCTGCTTATCTGTTTTCCTTTATTACTATTGCTTTTTTTGATCTGTTCTTTGTGCTTTCTTCTTTGATGTTACATAGTGCTCTTATGCGTGTCCTTTGACCTTGCTGTAATCTGCTAACTGGTTTCTTAAATTTTGGAAAACTTTTCGGTAATTAGAATCACACTCAGAGCGTAAAACTTGTGTGTGATTTTCTGCATTCTAAAAGCCTTTAAAGGCAGCAATTAATTAATTTAATCCCCGTTTCAATCTCTCTTCTAATTCATTAGCATATTCCCAATTTGGACTATAGAAAAAGTAAAAAATGTTAAAAATTAATTTGCATATTTAAAAAGGAGCTCTAACCATAAAACCGTTCGTTTATTATTCAATTATTTTACATTTTTTTGATATATTTGTCGGCTATGCAGCATAGAAAATATAGAAAAAAAAGGATAATGGAAATTCTATATTCTTTGTTTGCAAGCCAACCCCAGTGAAGCCATGAACACTGTAAGTCAACAACGGCGTTAATATTGCACATACGCACTGTCTGACGGGCTGCTCGTGCATATGTACATGCTTGATATTACCGCAACTATGCATTAGCCTCTTGGCCATTTGTTATGTCTGCCATGGCTAGCTTTCTGTCGTTTTTTAATAGACGCTGCCTTTAGAGCTTGGGGCCATATTCCATTAGCCTAACAATGACTAACAAGGAGATAGGAGCTAACTCTTCCGACAACAAACAATACGCTTTTTATAAAGAACATCAACGTAGTCCTCAAACTTTCTTTAAGTTTAAATGTTGTTAAACAAGGTTGCTTGCTTTTCTTTGCTTAAAAAATTTAAAAAAACATTTTAAAGTCCCATTTGTATATCTTAGTTAAAAAAGTAGGATATATCGTTTATATTTGTCAGGTTTTTCACATTTCCCCTTGCATCTCGACCAACTGTTGAGCCTAAACGTTGACCTCTTCACCCCGACTGTAGATCCCTATGCATCCCCACATCCCCTTATAGCCTCTGGCATAGTTCTTGGTCCCAAGGTGCCTGCAACTATTTATAGCCCCCACTCATCTCTACCGCTCGCTGCCCACTTTCCGCTGCTCTCAAAAGTGTGCTACAGTTTTTGTAGCTCTTCTCTGCGCTTTCCCCCCGCCTTCAAACAACCCCTTTTTGGCCACTCCTCGCCAGCCACTTGTCAACTGTTGACGTTTCTTTGTTGTCTGCCTCTTGCTGCCGGCTGCTCTCCTGTCTCCCTCGCACGGCAGTTTGTTGGTGTTGCTGTTGATTCGCCATCTCTGTCTACCGCCTCACGGGGCTGTCCATTTATCTGTTAAAGCACAAGGCAAACAGCAAACAGCCAACGGT